GTCGCAGTCACTTGGTTTTTGCTCAGTGTGCAGAATCTCAGTCTGCCAAATTTCACAGCCCTTCATTTATGGCAGCGTGGAACGTGAAACATGTTTTAAAGAGAAGTGGCTAAATCCTGTTAAAACCCACTTGTTCCCTAGATGGAAATTGATCTGGCTAAAGGTGAAGCACGACACAAAGAAGCAATCCTTAAAGTCAAGGAAGAAGCGAGAGTGGAACTAGACATTGAAAGACAAAAACAGCAAGAACTCATCACAAAATATCAGAGAGATTACGAAGAGCTCCAGAAGAAGGTGTGTAACGCTCGAGAGAAAAGTTTTGTGGCAGCAGATAATGTAAACTTGTGAGAAATAGTATGTGAAGGAATAAAACCACCTTTGTATGTAGTCCTGTATCTAGATGATACAATATTTTTTTCCCAGTCTTAGTATATGGCATCTGTTTCGTTTTGGTGTTTTTGGTTTTTTGTTGTTTTTTTTTTTTTAATAGAACAGGCTAAAAATAACTATTCTGGTTAAAGTTAAATGGTGTGGAAGTTCTTCTGTTTCTCACATTTTCTCTACCCAGAGTTCAACTATGTCCATAGTCTGTAGTCATTGATTATTTTTAAACCGAAATAAAAAATCTTTTTTGAAAAGCTTTGGACTGTTTCAGACTATGACAAGCTGTCACAAAACCATCCACACTGTTTTTTCCCCTTCCCAAATTAATTCAGCACTGATGGGTTAAGGTCCAGCAGCCAGTGAACTGCTTTCTTGTCTGTACTGGTGGCTGCATCACGCGCAGGTGGCTATTCCCAGCTACCCAGACCTACAGTGTTTGAAGTTTTATGCAGAAATTGAAAATGGTACCTATAACCTTAGTTTTCGCAAGATTTGACGCATTTCTTGAGAATTCAGGAAAAATCAAAGAAATTTGATGAAATTATGTTGTTGTTTAAAATTCGTTATGTTACACAGTGTTTTAAAGAGCTGAAAATAACAGCTTGACTTAGTTCGCTTTACAAATATTTGACTATGATTTTAAAACCCTGAAGGAATACTGGCTTGCTGTAAAGAAGTTAAGTTTTCCCATTTTTACCTCTATTTCTCTATTTGATCTTGGACATCCTAATTAATCTCTTCTGAGTGAGTTTTGATTAATTTACTGCTCTCTGATATCCTTTGAGTGTATTACGTAAATTCAGAGCTTTTTTTTTTTTTGTCTCTGAGGACATGTATGTTTGCGTTTGTATTTTTTTCCCCTGAAGTCAACGTTTGTCTGATGCTTAATTCTACATATCTAAAGACATCCACTGAATGTCTTTTTTTTGTTTTCCAAATTATTTGGGAAACAATAATCAATAAAGAATGCCGTCACAAAACCCCACTAACGCAATTTTTGTCTAATCTAATGCAGATACCAGGATTAATATCCAGTGCCACCAATAGCTTAAGGGTGGAGACAGAAATTCTTGAAAAGAAGCTACAAGATGCCCAGATCAAACTTGCAGAGAAAGATGAAGATAAGGAAAAAGAAATTCAGAGCCTTAGAAGACTAATTACTGAGCTTGAATTTCAGCTGACGATGGAAAAGAACAATAATGAATCATTTCTGGATAATATGAGAAAAGAAATTAAGCACAAGTCAGATGAACTGGAAAAATTAACCCAGGAGAGGACACAGCTGATTCACAATTTGAGTCAAGTTCAAGAGGAGGTAGGAACATGACTGAGGAAATGCCTTGCTATTTTTACTTAGAGACATGTGATTTCTAAAATGATTCAAAGCATCTATATTTCAGACCCTGTTATGTACTGGTTTAAAAAACATTGAAATGAAAAGACTTATAAAACAAGCCCGTCATAATTTCATAAATACAGTGTACCACAAAATACGTGAAATTTTTAATTCAGCAAGCACTTAAACTAGTCTTTTATTTTAAAAATATATTTTTCACGTCCTGCAAGACATGCAGTCTCTAGCCTCACATCATGCTACATAAGCATGAGTAAGCAATAAAGCATTTTTGGTTTTAAAGAAGAAGACATGGACATTTCTCATTCTTTGAAGAGCAGCAATCCTCCCAGTAGTCTTACTTATTTGGGAAATAATTTGTAAGAAAAAACTTCATCCTGTCAATGGGAACGAGAGCGGACACAGTCCTGGTCTGAGTGGCTTCTGGGGCAGAGATCGCATCTTTTAATGTGGGAGTATGTGTGTGCATCCTGCCGTGCTACTGGGGATGTGTCCCACCTCCCACCACTAAATCCACTTCCACCCAGGAATGCATAAAAATGAATCAAATGTGAAGAGAAACTTGACTGATGGATATTCTTAGACAAGCATTTGTTGAATGTTTGGAATATAATGGGAGGGGAGGAGAGAGTGCTGTACTGCTCTACGAGAAATGTGAAAACAGTGAAGTCAGGGACTGGAGATAAGATTAGGCTGGAATGTCTAAAGTAATTAAGTGGCAGAAAAAAATTGGTAAACAGTGAAAATAAAACTCTTCAAAATGAATTAGGGCTTGGGTTGATATTTATTTCTTCCTTGAAAAAGGTTCAGAAACACTGTGTTAGTGAAATCAGAGTGATATTGGCAGTCGTTCTGTCCTGTACCTATGGGAAAGGCTCTTGGAAAGACACGCGCTCCTCAAGTACTGCTCGGGAAGTTCAGCAGAGTAACGGACACGCTGTGATCCTCAGTTGTGAGATGCCACCAGCTCTGCTGATGTTCTTAGTTTTCCCCACTCTGAAGCTGAGTTCCCCCTCTAATACAATTATATTAGGAAACGGGGAGATGAGTGGTTGAAAATGGAAACTGGTTTTAACATAAGCTTTGCACCAGGGTGCTTTCTCAGATTTGCAGGTAACGCTTCCCAAATAATTTCATGGACTATCAGTGACCGTCTGAGTGGCAGGGAAAGTAACGTCTAACTTTCTTTCATTCAGTTGTCTGCAGAGTTAGGTGTTCAGAGAATGAGTTATTTTGGATATTTACATCTCTCCTACTTCTGCCTCTGCATGTAGTTATGTTCCTTCTCCAACAGCTCCTTCGCTTGCAGTCAGCACAGGGGTTAGACAGCCTGAGCAGAGCTTCTGGGTTTCCACTCTCCATCCACTGCAGATGCTTTGACTAAAGTAAAATTTTAAAATCTAAAAAATTTGGTCAACAAAGAACTTTTCATTTTTCCATCATTTTCAAGTTTTGATGGGAACACGCAGGCAAAAATGTAATAGTTTTAGTAACCTCTTCTTGGCTAAACAGAGCTTACCACCTTCCACTTCAGTGGGAACACACTTCTGTGCTCTGACTTTACTGCCCTCAGTATTTGCTCTTCAAAACGTCAAAAAAGTGCTATTGAGGTTATCTTTCTTACACATTTTCTGCCCTGTATACACCCACTGTCATAATCACATAGGGAATTTCAAATACAAATGTTTGTCCTCACTTCACGGTGATATGTGATCTGAGCCGGCATGCAGCTCATACTTCTAGCGCTAAAGAGGTTTACGTAGGAATGTTTGTGTCCGGGCCATGAGGTTGTGCATGACCGAGAGTGTTCTCCAGTTGACTCGATCGTCACTCTCTGTGTTGGAGACTGCCTTGGTGGTTGCTTCCCTTCCATTCTCATGGACCTCCTGGTGTCAGCAACAATTGCTTGCTTAGAAGAACAAAAAAAGTGGCTATTTTCTGCTTGTTTTAGTACTTTCAGTAGTTCTGACTTCTATGAATCAATTTAGTGCTGTTGTCCCTTGTGTTTTATTTACTTTTTGTTTCAGCTGGAAACCAGGGAAATTAGCATCACGAATAACTTCTACATAATATACTAACCTGGGGACTTCTGTAATGCAGAAACAGTTTCGGTTGTCTGCTCAAGGCCCAGTACCGGTCACTTCCCATTTAGGTATCAGTAATCACAGTGCAGAGTTTGTGAAAACCACTAGACTGAAAATCATTTATCCCAATTATTTGGGAAATAATAACAAAGAATGCCATCACAAAAAAATCAGTGCACAATTATTTAAACTACAGAGGAGGATAACTTCTTGAACTTCGTATCATAACGAAGTGGCGCAGCGATACTCAACCTCTGTACGTTGGTTTTTCCTTTCCAAGAGCAGCATTCCCAGTTTGCCCCTCGTTGGAGGATGGGCAGGAGATCAGAAGTAACTTCTGATAACTTACCTCATATTTTCCACCGTCTCCTGAGGGAATGACGGATGTGTAAATACTGATGTATGTCCTTTGAGTGACTCTCAGAGGAACCAAAATACGGGGAAGTATTGAAGGGTTTGTGTGCATCAGTACCCTCCAGCCACCCCTGCCTGAGCCTGAGGAGTTTAATAGGCACGCTTTTTGACTAAAGGCATTTTGTAAAGCCAGTGTTTGTTTCTGTTTGCAGAACACTCTTCTCCAGGAAACAGTGCGCAGAGAGTGTGAGGAACGCTATGAGCTGACTGCAGCTTTGACTCAAGCCAGGGAACAAGTACTGGAACTCAAAAAGCTCAGTGGAAACTTCCAGTTATCGCCGTGTTCCCTGACTCAGGGCAGCCTAACCTCCTCTGCTGCCCTGCTCGCTGATTACGGACAGAAAAGCCGCACAAGCCCCAGCGCCGGGAAGGAAATCAATCTCTCCGGACAGTTTGGTATTTCAAGATCCGCTAAGGCAGCCACCTCCGGTAAGCGTAACAGCAGCAGCAGCGTGGGCTTGCCGCCTCTAACCCCACCGCATCCGCCAAGAGGAAGAGCGGCTTCGCTGAATGAGCCCAGGAGCAGGATTGCTGCAGTTATAAGACGACAGCTGAGTCAGCTCTGACAGCTACGTACACATCCACAGCACGTGGGAAACCGTTCCAGTGCATCGAATGACCATTTACTTGTGGACCCCTGGGGTCAAATCTTAGCCAATGCAATTCATGCATTTCTACAGTTTAAGTTGAACTTTTATACATTTTGATGCAATAATGTTTCTTTGTCCATTGCATAGAAATGCTATCTATATTTCAAGATGAGAAAAGTAAAAAAGAAAAAATATTGTCTCTCCTAGCGGAGCACATCTTCGATAGCTGTAATTAAAATAATTGCCAATTTCAAATACTGTTTTCCCTAACTGCTTTTTTGAAATCTTTCTATTTTGTGTGTTCTCCCATGTAACTTAATTGCTCGTTTCTGGTGTAAAAACGTGATTTGTTCACTCAGAATCAGATTTTTGCCGTTATTTAATTCAGTAGCATTATATTTGCAAATAATTATGCTTAGGTCAGCGAGACTCGCTAGTTGTGGAGTATATGTCACTCAGCATGAAAATGTGGCAAATCTGTGCGCTCAGTAGACCAGCCGTTGGCAGGGACATAGCTTCGTCTGTGTGTGAGTCTTCGCTGTGCTAATTAACAAGGAGTTGAAGACTTAATACATTTTGTCCAAAAGACAGTTGCCTCTTGAATTTCGTCAGAAAAGTAGCTTTATGTTAAGCATGATTTTTAGCTTCAAAGTAGACATGCTGGAGGTCTATATAAAGTTGTTACACGAGAAGATCAATATATTTATTTTACTGCTTGATGCATGGAACCGTGGTTTGTTTTGGAGCATAAAAAGCCCAGACAAGTCTTGGTTGTCTTTTGTTAGCGTGCGGACGCTGCAGAAGTAGCTGCTCTTCGAACAAGGCAGGCCTGCTCTCGGGGCAGTTCGTCAGCGTGGAGCACCGGGTGGGCAAAGTGAAACGGCGATGGGCAATGCAGACACAGTCTGAGATTTTACTTACTACGTCACCAGACACTCAAGTTTTTTGGTCAGATAAGCCCAAACAGGACCGGTTTGGTGATCGTAACAGGTTCTGGCAACAGCCCAGCGGTCATCAGACGATGAGAGGTGATGGAGCAGGCCCAGGTCAGCAAGTCCCCTGGGCAGAGGTAGACCTACCACCGAGACCCAGCTCAGGCAAGGGCTGGGGCCAGGGCAGCAGCGCAGGGGCTCTTGAAAGGCTGTTCTTCTTCTGAGACCATCAGCTCTGACTTGGACAGAAGCTTCATGGGAGGTAAGTTAGAGGGGAACATTGTGGAGACTCTCAGAGCGTGCATATGAACAGCTGGATGACTGAAATTGCCTGCTGTTTAAGTTTTGGGACTGGGCTTGCTCTTCGCTCCGAGTCATGGAGTTGCTTCTTCACAGGACACTTTACTTGTAAACCCAAATACACTGATAATCGCACCATGGACCTTGACCTTCTTGTTATTTCTGAGTGATGAGATAGTCCCATATGTGACAAAGTGAGAGCAGTAGGCCATGTCTTCAATGCTGGAGTAAACTAGAAAAGCTGTGTTGAATCCAGTGGCGTAACGGGGAATTAATTTTATTCAGTAAAATGCATGGCTCCTGGAAATGAGGCCAGCTTGCCTTCCCTGATGCAGAAGAGCCCGGCTGTAGCTTCCAGCCCAAGCATGTATGGATGGGCTGTATCCTCCCTATGCTCAGTGGAGGCTTTAGTTTTACTAAACCAGGATTGTGCTCAGTACCAGTTGACTATACAAGGAGGAGACCTTAGTGCGGCCTTTCAGTACCTAAAGGGGGCCGATAGGAAGGATGGGGACAAGCTTTTTAGCAAGGCCTGCTGTGACAGGACAAGGGGTAATGGATTTAAACTAAAGAAGAATAGATTTAGACTGGATATAAGGAAGAAATGTTTTACAGTGAGGGCGGTGAGGCACTGGCACAGGTTGCCCAGAGAGGCGGTGGAGGCCCCATCCCTGGGAACATCCCAGGCCAGGCTGGACGGGGCTGTGAGCGCCCTGGGCTGGTTAAAGCTGTCCCTGGCACTGCAGGGGCTGGGCTGGGTGGGCTCTAAAGGGCCCTTCCCACCCAAAGCGCTCTGTGATTCTACGATTCTGTGACTAATTGGCCAATGTCAACAGTGAGTCTTAATCATGACCAAGATACCTGGGAAACAGTGGGAACCATCTGTGGGACCTGCTGACTTTGCTCAGTTACTCATCTTTTTCTTAAAGATGTTGAAAATTGGAAACATCAAAGACTGTGAAAGCAATTCCACTGAAACGCGAGCCTCAGGAAATACATTTTTCAGTAATTCCACAAATGCAGAAAGAAAGGGCTGGGGGTACTCCCAAAAGCCTGTTTGGAGGATGGCTGGATGGTCCCCTTCTCTGGTCGGTGGTCGTGCTGATTTTCTTTTTTGTGTTTAGGAAAGGTCCTGACTACTTCAAGCTTGAAAATTGTTATTCCACTGTCCACCCAGTCTTCCTGTGCTGAAGTAATAGATTTTCATTGAGGCAGTTCTTAAAATGATGACGTCCAGAGCTCTATTATGTAGATTTTTCATAAAATTTTAGATGAACTTCAGTTGTATTTTACAGTCTTATGAGAATTTTTAAATTATCTAGGTCCAGTAAATGTTATTAAATAATTTTACGCCCTTGTATAGCTATGGGACAGGTGTCATGGTCAACCCTGCGGTAGCTGATGTCGTGATCTGGAGTTTAATACTGGAATGCTTATATACTGGAGTTTAATACTGGAATGCGCAGTAACGTCTCTGTGCTTAAAGCAAAGCCAGAGCACAGATGTGGAAAGCAGCCTGTCCCCGGGTAATTCTTACCTTCGGTGACGGAGCATATCCCCAATTCCGCGCTGTAGCAGCCACTCCTCCCCTTGTGCCGCTGGGGCTGGGCAAACAGGTTGGATTGAGAATCCGGGCTCGTGTCCACTGCTTCGCTGTTTATGTCCCGTAGCAGCAGCAGTAGTAAAGAATGCCTGTGTGGTCATAAATTGTAAAGAAAGGAATAGCACGTAAAATAATGAGAGCAGTCACAGAAGTAATGTTTCTAGTATGAGGGAGTGTATAAATCACGGATCCAAACCAAGTCAAGAACAAGTATTTCCCTTATTTCCTTTCCCTCACAGAAACCCAGAACTCCTGCTGCTAAGCAATAAACAAAATATATAAATGTCAGGAAACCTTTTCTAGCAGCTTTAAAAAACAATTAAATTAATTTCCCATAGTCAAGGAAAGTTTGCAGAGTGTTTCTCGTAATGGGATGAAACGCACTAGCAGAAAGTACCACGGAGAATGTGGACGCCTAATTATATCGCCACATTTTCAGGAAATAAAACTTCCTGGAGGCAACGCATCTTGTAGAAGCGGTGTCGTTTATGAATGGGTTTTTCGTATGCTAGACCTTGCACTCTAGGACTCATGGCACAAGGGAATACTAAAAAAATCTCCACGCTTGAAACAAATCTGCCTCTGTGGGCTCCTGACCCGCTGGCTGCAGGCAGTAAGCCATCCTTTCACTTCTCAAGGTTACCAGAAAACATCCCATGGCAACGGCTTGTCTTGTTCTTGCCTAATGCAAAGGCTTCTGTTTTCTTCCCTGACAGAGCTGATATTGTTGCCTGATCGAGAATAGCAGCTTGTACAGCCCTAAATCTTTCCATAAAGTATTAATCCCGCTAGCAGGCTGCCGGTTTGCATACTGGGATATCCAGTGCGCTAATGTACTGTGTTCTTACCAAATTTATCCATCTATTTTTGCGCAGTGGTCTTCGCTTCCAGAGCCGTTTCAAAGCTTTAGTGTCTTACTATTAACCAGAGAGAGTCTACGCTCCATGGCTGAGCGCAGCACGGGAGCGTTGGGACGAAGCAGAAGTGCCTGGGTGCAAGCTGCCGGGGGGCTGCCCTCACGCTCGTGGGTTTGCGGGTGGGAAAAGGCGACCGTGGCAAGGCCGCTGTCCGGCGAGGCTGGCAAGTGCTGCCCCACGCTTGCCCTCTCCAGCCTGCCCACCCTGCCAACCCCGATTCCTCTGGGCGTGAAAATAAGAGTAATATTGGTCTGATGCCTTAGAGAAGGCTTCATGTGAGCATCAAACATCATTTGTGGTTTGGCCAACTGTCTCTTGAGTGCAAAGCCGTCGTTATTGGTGGGGAAAGCACGTATATCTGTGAGATGGGAGGGGAGGGACAGGGCACTACCCAAAGCCAAGGTGGGACAGGGCAAGTGAAGCCATCGCAGTGTTTCTGGCCTACAAGGCAACGGAAGAGTCCCTTTGGCATGCCTCAAACTTGCGCACGTCCTTTCCGAATGCTCCTTTTAAGCTGCTGTCCCATTCCGTGTTCACCGGGGAGAGCTCCCCAGCCTCAGGCCGGGCCTTTGCTCCGCCCCCGTCCCTGCGGAAGGTGCAGACGAGAGAAGCTGAAGATGGAATTTCTGGCTCGCAGGCCTTGCACAAGCAGTGTGTAGTTCAGCTGCCACAGCAGAATGAGCGAGCAATGTTTAGACAGCTGCAATACAGGGGTTGTCCTCTTCTTGCTAAGGGCTTGCATCCCAGATGGACGTGGCCAACATAGTCTAGAGGGGGAAAGCTTTGGACAGGGGACATCCTGCGGGACAGTAGGACAGGAGCTCTTCTGGGGACAGTCCTTGGCGCAGCTGCGCTCAGAGCTGTGCCTTGGCTTCATCTCAGACGGAACTTGCTGGTTCACTCTGGAGGAGGAGCAGAAAGGTCCAAGAAGGATGGGTCAAGTACCTACGCGTAGCCTGGACTCAGGAGAGCAGGACCCGCAGCAGGGAGCCAAGTTCTTGGGCAGCACTGGAAGCACCCAGCACGTAGACTCCAAACCTAACTCAAGTGTCGGTGAGCATCAGAGCCCACGGGACGTACGGCAGGAGCCAGGCACGGTATTTCAAGCCCACGTCACAAATGCAAATCGATGGCTGTTGGACAAGAAATGGCTCATATCCAGCCCCCGGGAAGCTTGAGCAGGAGAGCCTGGGCTTTCCCCAGACACGCTCCCTGTCCCAGGTC